CCGAGGGCCGAAGGCCCGAGGGAATTTTACTAAATGACCCGAATCGAGCGGCGCCCAAGGGAATTTTACTAAACGACCCTCATCGGGCGGGACGTTTCAATAGCTAATTCGCTTCTTTTTATGCTATTACCTTATAATATCACGATTGCGGGTATTCCCTTTGTTCTCGCAGGGCAATTAATAACTAATACACCTCATTATATTCATTTTTTCTAATCCTACCCGCTTTTACGTCATGTCAGGTAGAATTAGTCCTAATCCTACCCGAAACGTCGTCAAAGCGGGTACGATTAGAAAAAATGAATATAAATGAAGATATCTGAAATCGCCAAAACTAAACAAAGACAGGGAAAACAATTATACCATTTAATTTATACCATTATTTATTAGTTTAATTGGTTTTTAATGGCCCTGGCAGAACAACGGGAATACCCGCAATCATGATATTATAAGGTAATAGCATAAAAAGAAGCGAATTAGCTATTGAAACGTCCCGCCCGATGAGGGTCGTTTAGTAAAATTCCCTTGGGCGCCGCTCGATTCGGGTCATTTAGTAAAACTTTACTAAATTTTAGTAAAATTTTACTAAATGACCCTCATCGAGCGGCGCCCAAGGGAATTATACTAAACGACCCTCATCGGGCGGGACGTTTTAATAGCTAATTCGCTTCTTTTTATGCTATTACTTATAATAAACTGCTGGTGACCTTCATTGACTCTTGGGGCTTGATGGACTCTTTGCAATTAATAAGCTGATCCGAATCACAGGGGTTTCATTCCCGGCACAATAGCTATTAGGGACGGACCATTAGAAAAGTGATGGGGGGGGGAGGGGATTTTCTAAGAGGCAATATTTTTTTTTTTGTACACCTATAGAAGAAATATATTTTTTTTCTCACTTGATGGTTGGAAATATTTTTTTTTTAAGTGAAATTTATAGGCCTATCAGTGGTGTAGTCCTGGAATGTTAACAAGGGGGCTCTCCAAAGTGTCCTGAATTGGCGGGAGGGGTGTACAATAAGATATTTTGGAAATTCTAAATTTTGTTGGGGTTTATTCTAGAAATTGTGGGACAAACATTCGACGTTATTCTTATTAAAAACAAAGGGGCTGAAAGCGAGGGCCGAAGGCCCGAGGAAATTCTTAAATTTAGAGTCTCTGAAATGCCATTTCCTGGACTTTGGGGAAGATTTGACAGAATTCTGATGGTCAGAAAACAGCGTTTTAGTATGTCGAAATTTACAATTTAGTAGTATTAAATGGGCGAAGGCGTATTTAGTTAACTATATATTGGATAAATTGCAGGAAATTATGGGTAATATCTTCATTCTTTGCAATTTGTCATGGATAATGTACAGCTTACAATTAATCAATTGTCAGTGTTTTAAAGATATTATTTAAATGTATCGAGTAGCTACAGATTTGTCCTTGGCACATATGGTAAAGACTCTACAATGTTTGAGCCTCTGACCTATAGTGATGACGTAAACTTTATATAGGTCTATGCGCCGAGGGGACTGACCTAACCTTGGCAGCCTATACTTGCAATGAGGGGCGGTGAGCTAACCTGTGCCTTGCCCGCGATAGGAACGAGTGCTGCCTGCTCTCTCAGGCAAAATGTCTCTTCACCCTGCTGACGAACGCTAGAGGACACATGATTTTGTCAAAAGAATGATTATTAGCAAATTATGGGGGGGGGGCTGCAGCCCCAAGCCCCTCCCGTTGATACAGCCCTGGATAGAGTTTAAATCAGACAAAACAGGATCGGTATTTCAACAGCCAATTTGCCACGGCGCATGAACAACGCGGTATAAAGATTACAAAAATCATTATTGTGTTAAATTATGACTGAAAATGAGATACAATTCTAAAGAACATTCTCGTTTACTGATATTTTTGTGTGTGTTTTTGACGTTGTTAAGATTATGCAACGCGCCAAAAACATAGGGGGGCTCAGCCCCTCCAAGTCAACATGAAATTTTAACAAGGGGTGCTAAGCACCCTCCAGCCCTCCCTCCACTACACCACTTGGCCTATCTTCTAAGCAAGGAATTTTTTTTTTTGCACTATGCCTGGGAAGATTTTTTTTTTCTTAATTTTTTTCTGGAAATAATTTTTTTTTTTGGTTTTGCCCCCCCCCCCATCACTTTTCTAATGGTCCGTCC